GCAATAGCTTCAGGATGAAGAAATGCAAAAGAGATCTGGTATAAGGAAAAAGCTCTGTGACCTTAGACAGGTATGCATGCGCACACACACATACACACACACACACACACACACAAACCACAAATTCTGGGAATTCTTTCTGTGAAAGTTAGATAGGGCTGTGTCCCCAAGAGTCTCACCATTTTTAGGGCTGTGCTCTTTAGAATATCTGGCAGGGTCTTTCTGGTTATTTCTTCTATTTTTTGATCTGAGTCCATGATCTGGTATAGAGAGAATGTTTTTAAGTGTGGCGCAGCATGGATACGTATCAGTAAATCTCCGAGTTTCCATTTCCTACCATCCGAGTTCCTAGGCTCCCAGAGATTAGAAATGAACCTCACCGTAGGAAGAATCCAACCATACTCATCATTGTTGACACCAATGATGCTGGGGATACGGTGAAAATCAGCAGAGGCCAGCAGCTCCTGAGGATGCTTGGGTAGGAACTCTCCATCCACCACAGCAGGGATGATCTTGAAGACCTGAGGAACATTCAAAGTCAGAACTGAAGGTCAATTTTATATGTTTTCTGATTTCCAATGAATGTATTCGACTTCATCTCCATTTTCTAATTTGTCTCAGGTTAGTTATTCTCCACAATAGCTCTCCCCCCCTTCTCATCCCTAAAGAGACCTTACATTTAGATTAGCTTATGGTGGTATTGGTTTTACACCCAGGACTAAAGTGAGACTAGTCATGAGATTAGGTAATTTGTTCATAGTAATGAGAACTACCTATAACACACCTTGCTATCAGCCATCTTCCCAGCCACACCATTCTGCCAACCTTATTAATCTCCAGAATCTCTGCTTCACTCTTGCCTCTTAGGCAGGACAACAGGGCCTCAGAGTTCACAGCCTTGCAACCAGATAGATTGGCCACTATCTGTAATGAGAACAGGATGAAGCTGTCTTCCAGGCAGAGAAACTCTTCCAGTCCCAAGATGGTACCATTGACTCTAAATGTTATACCAAATGTGTGTGGGCTGGAGCAAGAACAAAATTTTTTCCATTTTCCTATTGCTCAGTTGTGATAGTGATACCCCCAAATCCTGCCATGGCCCTCACTTCCACTTAATTTGAGAAATGGTCTCTTGTTTTGCTGCAGCCTACTCCAGTTTAGGGGGTCTGTAACTTTCTAAAGATGTTCCTGTCCCTATTTCCATTCTCTCCATAGGAATACCTGGATTAGCAACATGGATGTTTTGGGGAATTGAACTCAGATCCTCGCACCAGCATGTCAAGCTCTCTTGCCTGTGTACCATTTCCCAAACACATACCTTCTTGCTTTTGCCAGTGATAGAAGCTGCTAGGTATAGCTATGCCGAACTTTATATAAAGGTTCAGCAAAGCAAAACAAAACCAACCAACCAACCAACCAACCAACCAACCAACCAACCAACCAACCAAACAACCAACCAAAAAGCCCTTTGTATAAAGCACCTGTATAAAGCTCTGTATAATGGGGTGGATATGAGGGTTCTAAACCTTGAGTCTTTAAGAAAGCCCTGAAGGGAAGTTACTTCCCATGTCCTTCATTTTCCC